CTAGGCTACTTTATGTGTCACTAGGTCGTCGAACATGGAATCTGATTAGGAATACTCAACTGCCATGCGCGGCTGTTGGCTGTTGGCTGTTGGCGCCAGGGCCGGAGCAGCGACATCGAGCCTTGCAGGACGCCGTGGCGTGCCGCCTCGAAAGTCTGATGTTCTGCAGTCACAGGCAGTCACAGGCAGTCATAGTCATTGACCGTGGCCAGAACGGTGCTCGAGAAGTCCGGTCGCAAGCCGAAGTACCTCCTCGCGCAGAGGTACTCCCCCCGTGCGTGCTGTCGCGGCGAAGGGCGTGGTACCGCTTTCGGGCAAGAGACGCCCATCAGCCCGGCTCCAACTTACGGAAGCATGGTGTGTGGTTTGTCAGGCAGCTCGGATTTAGTCAGCGGTTATTGCGGACATCTGGAGTGCCATGCGAATCAAGGGCCCATGGCGTTAGGCTTCTGGCACACATCGGAGGCTCAGAGGCAGAGGAGTCACCACCTCCCGCAGAGGCTCACTAATTGTCGACACGCCTCCCTCGGGGCCCCACCCTGCTTTCTAAAGTTGCTAATGCCAGCACCACACCCGCAGGACCCGCACCCCTGCACCGGCGTCGCTGTCGTGCTGCTCGGGGCCGCGTGCACAAAGTCCGCTTAGCAGCGTGCGTCGGCGTCGTCGTCGTTCCCAGGCTCGGGGACGCGGATTCTCGACAGGCTCCAGCCCCAAAGTCCGGGCATTGACGAGTATATCACGCCTCGCCCCCCCGTCCCTCGGATTCGAACCTTCTCGGAAACACCAGATCCAATTTCATCACCAAGCAATCCGTAACAGCTCTTGCACTTGCAATCCAGACTCTGCAACCCGCCTGCAACCCGATCGCACGCAATACACGCAGCTGGCCGTCACATCATTTGCCCAGTTTCTCTCATCACCATCACCGCCCTTGAGTAGCTGCACACGCTTGTTTCGACATCCCTGTCCGCTATCCGCAATCGGGTCTTGACTCACACGCATATATCCACCCGAGGCAAGAAAAAACAACAAGATCCAGACATAAAGCAACTTGCTTCCCTCCACCAAAATGTCTACCGCAGCAGTGGCTCAGCCTCAACACCCTATTTTCTCTTCAACCTCGTCTCACATCCGATCTGCTCCCAAGAAGAACATGTCCATCACGCAGACCTACTACCTGGCCCACAAGGCCCGGGCCAAGCTCTCCCGCGAGGCTGCCCAACCCGACCACGACCTCCGTCTCCTCGTCGGCCACGCCAACCTGCTCGACTCCCTGATGCTCGAACTCGCCGACGCCGAGCGCGAGCAGGAGCGCTGGTTCAACCAGTCCGTCCGCGGCGCGAGCAACCCTAAGCCTGCCGACCGCCGTGTGCAGTGGGCCGACCGCATCGTTGAGCAGCCCGAGGAGGAGTACGACGACGACTCTTCCGACTCTGAGTCTGACTCCGACTCCGACTTTGATGAGGACGACGTCGAGATGACCAACGCCGTCTCCGCCCGGGTTCCCGTCGCCGCCCAGCGAGCTCAGCTCGTGAACGTGGACGACGAGGAGGAGATGGGTGACGATCTCGAGGAGGACTACGCACAGCTCGAACTCGTCCGGACTCCGTCTCACTCCACCTCACCACCCGAGCTTGTTGACCACGACTCGGAATCCTCAGACGACGAGTCCATGCCACCCTCGCCAGCCGACGCCTCGCTGCCCTACAACGAAAAGGAAGCCGCCAAGGAGGAAGGGGAAGAAATCTTCAACGACGAGTACTACACCTCTCAGCAGACGTCAGCGGGTCTGGTAACCGCCATCTCGGTATACTAGGAAGCCCTGATGGCTGCTCGAGCACCAACAACACGTCATGATTTCTTCTTTTTACTCTAGCGACTTTTTTTTATATCAGCGATGGCATAGCACCGGCGTTCAATAGACATGATACCACTGGCATTTAAAACGGGGTTTTCACAAAAGCATTTCATATACATCATCACATCACCACTCAGGGTACACAGAACTTGGATATATTGGAGGTTTTTCGGGCATGTAGCTCGCTCCCATAAACTGGTAGAGTGAGCCATACACATACACACATACATAGTACATAGGTCCACAGCCCAAGGGCAATCAAGAAAAAATTTCAAAAAGCATACAATCCACGCATCTTCTTTGTCAGTGACCTTTTTTGCCTGTGAAATTCTTTGTCACCGTCCCGAGTCCTGACTCTTGTCCAGCGCACCACCAACCACCAAGTGGATGCCGCACCTAAAAAGGCGGGGCGATGTCGGTCCCGGCATGAATCATGGCCCGCCCGACCGCCTCTTCAGGCCATTGAGGAAGTAGTACACATGTACGTAAGCAGACGAAGAGGAAAAAAAAAGAGTTTGGCGTCAATCAATCCCACCGCCTTTCGGCGCCTCGGACTCCCGCCGACCCGCCACAAAAGCTACGTACCTGGCTCTTGATTCATCAGCTTTTTTTCCTTCTTGTCTTTTTCCAACCTTGCCAACGTCGGCAGGGGACAGCCGTGGCGCCCAATGGCGTTGCGTGACCAGGCAGGTTCACGTCAGCAAGGTTTTGGCAAGTCTGATCACAAATGGGCGGAGCGGGCATCCCAGCATCAAGGTTCCCTTGAGAATCATGTTTTGTCATCAGCAGCATTTGTTGTTGGCACACCCGAAACCCAAGGGATGGGTCGCCAATGGCGAAATTAAGAATTGCGTGCGTGTACGGAGTGCAGAGGACAGTACGGAGTAGTATGTATGATTGACTACATGTACTGCGTCCAATGTGTGTATGTGCGTACTTTTTGCACCGCACCTTTCAATGTTTCGTTGCCTCAGCAAAAAGCTTGGTCCTGGACCTGTTGGGGTGTCATCTTTTGCACGCCCTTTGCAGAACAGGGCCATTGTCGGGAGTCTCGCCCAGCGCGCCAAGTCACTGGAGCAGCTTGTCCGCGGCCTTCCGGGGGACGCATGGGCTGGTATTGGCGACTTGAATTGCGGGTGTCAGTTTGAGCCCGCTGTGCCGCTCAACTAGGCGGAACTCTCGGTTGACGGGTGCCGTTGATTGCCCAGTCCTGTGCTGTTTCGTAAGGCTACGTGTGACTGCTTGGGTGTGTACTCGGACTGGATGGGCTGGTTGGGCGGCACAAAGAAACCCCCTGGTGCCAATGGGCTGAGGGATAGCATGTATGTACATACAATATGCTTTGCTTAAAATGTTGGATTTGCGATGGTGGATGATGGTTGGGCGAGTTACGCCGGTCCAATGCATAATTCTTCGCTTCTCTTTTTGCTCTTCACTTGATTAGGTTGTCATGCAACGACGACTCCGCTCGCCTGGCATGTAAAAGCATGCGGCGCAACATGTACTCCGTACATACATAATGTAGGTTTCATCTGGAGACCCGTGATGAGGTGGTCTTTTGCTCCACTGCGCATTGCATCAATGGGATCGACGCCATGGGATTCCGGGTCTGATACGTGGCGGGTATCCCCAACGGCAGGTGATTGGAGATTTACTGGTGCCTTGGAGGGAAAACTCAAAGGTGGTCAGGCAATGCCATTGTTTGAGATGCGTTGCCCGGTAGATGCCTGCTTGGCTGACAGGAGGTTTGCTCTGTCGCCTTGGCCATTCTCTTGGCTATTGTTGGTCGACCGGTGCCTGCAGGGCGTGGTTTGAAACATCAGACATTGTATTGCTTTTCCATGTGACTACTACTATATAGGTACGTACCTTGGCTGGTAATCATTGATTGTTACTAAACCACCCGAATACCCGTTTGATCCGTCCATGAGTTCAAGGAAGTGCGGGGAATTAGGTTATAGCTCAACGCCCCTCGAGTCTTGACTGTGCGAAAGACAGAGGCTTGTGAGAATGGCCTGCACGCCTCACAAAATGTCCGTGGGAGCTCCGACCTCGTCGGCGGCAAATCCATGGTGCATTCGATGTCACGGGACCATCTGTGGGATCCTCCCTCCCCGCCAGGTGCCGGTCCTGCGTCCGGCCTTGTCCGGGGCTGGGATCGGAGATCGACGTGTGCCTAGCACCGCCGATTCGCGGGGGCAAACCGTGCCTGAGTGTATCGTGAGGAGCGATGATCGGGGTGTGAACCGTTGTCGGAGTGGTTTTGCGATCCTGCAAGGGCGCGGTTGATCGATTTGACTGTGGAGGGACCTTTGATGTCTGGGGGACGCTGCACAGCGGAGGCAGTTATCTGATGGCCATGTCTGCTGGTCGTTCTTGCCGGAGTTGCAAGGCAACATTGAATGCCATTGGCTGGTTCCTTCATGACTTGCCTACCTTCCTAGATCTAAGTACTTAAGTAGGTAGATACCCAGTAGTTCTAGGCGTGTAGGAATACAGCATTTAAAGGGGGACACGGTCTTTTGACCAACTTCTACTACAGACTTTACGCATCTACTCAGATGCGGCCTGGTAGTTGTGAGGCAATGCGCCTGGGTAGACATGACAAGGGCGGATTCTTGTACACTGACGGCCTTGAATTTGTTAGCTGAGGACATTGATAGATACAGCCAAGCATCACTGCTCTAGTTTCGTTGCCGAGAACTGTTGTTGGCTCAAATCCGAAAAAACTTGCCAAAGTTGCTGCCGCTTCTACTGTATCTGGTAGATATAAACTGCATCAGTCGGATCCACTGTCTTGTCAACCAGGCCAAGTCGGAAAAACATTTTGGTGTATCTCAATCCCGGAATCATGGTCAATACATGTAGTGAATTTTTTTAAAAAAAATTCTTTTTTTAAAAAAAAGCTCTGCCTGTGCAAGCTCCTTGAGCTCAAGTGCTATTTTCATCTTCTTCTTCAAAATCCCCACGGGCAATCTCATCCCTCCAAGCCGACTTGACGTTATCAATCAACCCCCCCAGCTCCGGTCCCCACCAAACACGTGCGACAAACCCGAGTTTTGATATCCTCAAGCTCCCACGAAAAAAATCCATCAACTACAATAGACAGCTGCCACTGATATACAAACGCAACCAATACACAATGGGCGCGGCACGGCGCGCTCTACCCACGCGCCTCCTCTGCCGAAGCTGCCTCAAACACCAGCAACGCCGATTCGCAAGCTCGGCCGCGCCCCCGAAACCGCCGCCTTCCGGCCTCGCTGCCCTCCCGTCTCGACAGCTCCTCTCTGTATCCGGGCCCGAAGCTACAAAGTTCCTGCAGGGAATAATCACGGCCAACATGGCCAACGCCGAGGGCCTGCCGCGCAGAGATGCGTTCTACTCGGGGTTCCTGAACGCCACGGGCCGCGTGGTCCACGACATCTTCATATACCCCTTCCGGCAGGCCAAGCAAGACGACGGCTACCTGATCGAGGCAGACGCAGGCGAGATGGCCAGGTTCGCCAAACTCATCAAGCGGTACAAGCTACGTGCAAAGGTCACGGTGCGCAACGTCCCGCCGGACGAGGCGTCTGTTTGGCAGGCCTGGGACGACGCCTCGCCGCTGGACATTGCAGCCAGCGAGTCCCGGGTGGTGTTGAAGGACCCCAGGGCTCCTGGGCTGGGGCACCGCATCGTCCAGCTGAACCACAAGGCGCCCGAGCTCGACGTGGACGCTTCTACGGAGGATGCGTACACGATCCGGCGCTATCTGCAGGGCGTCGCCGAGGGCCAGGACGAGATTCTCCGCGAGCAGGCGCTGCCGCTGGAGAGCAACATGGAACTGATGAATGGGATAGACTTCCACAAGGGCTGCTACGTCGGGCAGGAGCTCACGATCCGGACGAGGCACCGCGGCGTGGTGCGGAAGCGCATCCTGCCGTGCGCGATTTACAGCGAGGACAAGGCGCCGCCGCAGACGCTCTCGTATGATCCCGAGTGCGCTTCCCCGGAGAGCCTGACGGCGGACATGATCCCCGCCGAGACGAGCATTGGGCGGTTCGGCAAGAAGGGACGCAGCGCGGGCAAGTGGTTGAAGGGCGTGGGCAACATTGGGCTGGGACTGTGCCGGCTCGAGATCATGACGGACGTTGTCCTACCCGGGGAGCAGGCTGCGGCCACGTATAAGCCGGGAAATGAGTTTGTACTCGAATGGGGCGACGAGGACAACAAAAGCGACGTCAAGGTGAAGGCGTTTGTGCCGAAGTGGCTGCGCGAGGGATTGAGCGCGCAGCAGGGCTGAGGGAGACGGCATAGAGGGCACGGAATACTTGCATACACATAGATGAATAAATAGAGAGTAAACAACTACACAACTTTCTTCACTGGAAACACGGGGCTGCTTGGAGTATTTCTGGATATGCTCGTTGGCCGTATCAAGGCAGCGACCGGCAAAGCAGTCATATTAATAAATAACTGGGATTGGGAAACACAGGCCATGAATACGGAGCTGGTTGCTTAGACGCCAGGCCCGATGTGGTTGCGGCCATTTTGGGTCAACGGTGGGAACTGGGTTCCTCCAGGGGCGCAGAACTGACATGGACAAGCTACGGAGTACTTACCGTCGACAACTGACAAGCGGGCCGATCCCTGGACATGGAAGAAGCCTGCCTCCTCGTTCAGCCCATGCAGCCTTGTCAAGACGAAAAAAGAAGCGGCATCAGCGTGAGAGGGAGGCAGGCTATGCAGACGATGACTGCTGATCTGGCCAAACAACAGCCATTTCCCCCAGTGCCACTGCAGCCTGTCTGCCTCATGCAACCGTCAATTGATGGCCGAAGCGCAAGCGACAATTCAAGCAGCCAACACCTGCCTATGAGTGCCGCGATACCAAAGTCGTGAGGCTGGGTCAAGCCGGCATTGGCTGAGGTGTGGGAACGTGCAGTGGCCAAGATGAGCGTCACGAGGCACGAGGGGGCCGCAATTTCGCCTGGCGAAGACTTAGCTAAGGCGGGAATACAACCCCTGCGGTCTGGTCGAATCTGGCAAGATTGACTTTCTATTCATACCAGAGTCGGGCAAAGGACAAGATTGAACGTCGGTCAGCCCGTTGCATCGACGCGAGGTACGGAGCAGTCCGTAGCACCAGACTGCGTATCGATCGGGTCCAACGTCGCGCCGCGCCAGTCTGCCGCCAAACCCTCGCACCGGCTCCGTCCAAAATTAGTGCCGCTGCGACTCCAACAGCCTTGGGGTCATTGGCCGTGTTTTGTCTGATGACTGGCTTTTGGCCGATCTGGCTCTGACGGGCTGACACTGAGGCTTGTGGATGTGAGGCTGGGCAAAGGGGAAGGCGAGTGAGCATCTCACCCATCTCACGCTTCTTAGTTCTGACCCTCCCTAGCCTCACGTGTGGTCACTGGTATACCGAACTCTTGGCGCGCGGGTACGTGTATGACGTTCATCTCATCTCAAGCTCGCATTCTGGCATTTATTTAACCCCTTGTTGCCGCGGCAGACGGGCCCGGCAAAAGCGCAACAAGAAACATTGATTCGTTCCCATCACTCCTCTACCAACTAACTTGCGCGGCTAAACCATCTACATCGCCCTACGATACTACGTAAATTTGGTCCGTAAAACTCAGGGGGGAACAAGACGAGCAACATGGCCGCCGAATATGCCACGACAAGGCGCCAAAAGAAGCGCCTCATAGTTTGCTGCGACGGAACCTGGATGAACAGCGACTACGGATTCTCAAAATCGAGCCCCTTTTCTAAAAAGGGAACCTTGCAGGTGCCCTCCAATGTCACGCGTATATCGCGATGTTTCAAGCGCCGCTGCGCAGACGGCACCCTGCAAATTATTTCCTATGAGTCGGGAGTCGGCAGTGGCAGCAATACGCTTGATAGCATCACCGGCGGAGCGTTTGGGACTGGCCTTGCCGAGGTGGGTGGCTTGCTGCGTTTCCCAAGACATGAAAGTAGAGTGCTCGAAACTAACCATTCTCGATAGCGTGTCCGCGAGGTGTACGCGTATTTGTGCGCCAACTACATGGATGGCGATGAGATATTTCTAGTCGGCTTCTCAAGGGGCGCCTTCACCGCGAGATCTGTCTCTGGCATGATTGCAAATTTGGGCCTGTTGACCAGAGAGGGCGTCGAGCACTTCTACCCTATTTTCAAGGACATGCAAAACTGGGAGAACGAGGACTATGTCGACCCCTTTCCCAGTGTGCCGTTCCGAGACAAACCCAAAGGTGCCCACGCTGACGTCGAGTATCGAGCTCGGCTTGAGAAGATGGGGTACACTCGCGTCTATCAAAAGAACAACAACCTCATCAAAGTCAAGGGCGTATGTGTTTGGGATACTGTCGGCAGTCTCGGGATCCCCAAGATCCATTGGTTGGAAAAGCTCGGCGTTCGGCCAAACAATGACGAATAAGTCTTCCCTCCCCCGCGACTCTCCTGATCTACATGTATATAAAAGCTAACCTTCGGTGAACATACAAGTGGCATGATACGGCTCTATCAGACCGAATTGAACATGCTTTCCAGGCACTGGCACTTGACGAGACTCGTACACCCTTCAGTCCTGCAGTTTGGGAGCGTCCTCGGCGTGAGGGACTACGCACGGTAGATTTGCGGCAGGTGTGGTTTCCTGGGAACCATGGAAACTGCGGTGGTGGATGGGACGACCAGGGCATCGCTAATGCTACATTAGCCTGTAAGTTTTGGTGCAATTTGGAACCCTACTCGTTGTCTAGCGGCGCTGACTTTACTAGGGATGATGGATCAAATGACCAGCATCGGCGTCGAGTTTGACACGCCATCACTAAAACGAGTAGTTGAGCAAACGTCTGATTTCTATGAGTCGCCCGAGGCACACAACCAGAAGAAAGACCGGAGCAAGCTCAAGCAATGGGCCGTTGATCCAATTTACGACAGCAACAAGCCGCTCAGGCCGTGGGCTCTGGGGTCCATCCAAAAAGTGGGTGGTGTTTTTTACGCCCTATCCGGAGATACGATTAGAACTCCAGGCATGTACAAGCAAGTTGATCCAAAAACATCGGCATGCCGAGAAAGTTACCTGCAGGATACAAACGAGAAAGTACACAGCTCTGTGCGAGTGCGGCTAGCATGCGAAGGTTTGGGTCTCAATGACGAATCCGTATGGACATGCCAGGCCCTTTCGGACTGGAAGCTGAAGCGGGCCATCTTTGAATATGATGAAGAGGTTCATCACTACAAACCATATGATCGGTACCGCGACCGGCCGTCTCGTGAAGGCTGGATCTGGAAATATGTTGGCAGTGAGAAGAACGCACCAGGCCAAAGAATTATGCCCGAAGAGCCTCTGGGCCCGTATGAGCGATATGTATTGGAATTATCGGGTGGAAGCCCAAATGTGTACGATTATGCCGATAGAAGAGCAAACAGGAGCAAGAGAAGGAGCAGATCTGAGCGATCACGGAAGACGTTAAGGGGGGCGTCGCATACTTACTAAGCATTAGACATAAGGAGGCTATGTACTAGCCGGCAGGAATAATATTTTAAATACCACCATGAATGCAAGCACTAGTACTCTGTACTTGATGTCAGATGTCGATCAACCCGTCGTCAATGCAAGAAGTCTATTAGGTAGCTTTACCAGGTCGCTAATGAGAGGTCAGCGCTGGCATACTGATAAAAGTGGGTCACGTGGAGCCGACCAGACTTTCTAGAAAACGCTGCCTCGAGGTATAATGTCGTCTTCATCTCAACTCAGCTGACGACCCGGCCTTTCTCATTCGCAGCGGCTCAAAAAAAAAAACTATCTGTTGCGAGGAGCCCAACCCTCACATATGATCTGTGACAGGAAAATCGTTTAGTAAGCGGGACCAAGAACGCCCGTGATACTCGCGCCTGCCCACGGCGCTTTTGCGCTCCAAGGTGTCACAGCCAGCACACCACCGGACTCTTCCACGAAAGTCAGCCAACCAGTCGAATAGAAAGGCACCATGGGTGAAGAAAACAGGGATCTCGTGCGTCTCGCAGGCGAATATGCCGACAGAGACATCGACCTTTACAATCTCCTCGGTGTCGACGCGCTCACGGCAAAGGAAGACATCCACCGCGCGTGGAGGAAGCGCTCCATCAAGTACCACCCGGACAAGGCCCGCGAGAACTTTGACCCCGAGAAATGGGAGCTCTTCGAGAAGGCGCGAGACATCCTGTCGGACGCGAGCGCGCGCGCCGTGTACGACGGTGCCAGCAAGGCCAAGCTCCTGCGCAGGCAAGAGCGCGAGGCCATGGACAAGGAGCGCAAGAAGTTTGCCGATGATCTCGAGGCGCGAGAAGACGCCGCCAGGAGGGCGAGGGAGGAGAAGCAGCAAATGGAGCGGGAGATGCTGCAGAAGGAGAGGGAGAGACTGGCGGAGGAGCAGCAGATGCGGGCCGAGGAGACGAGACGGCAGGCCGAGGCCGCGCAGGAGGTGGAGGACCTGGCCGAGGCTAGAAGGCGGCTGAAGGAGAAGAAGGACGAGAAGGCGAGGAAGAAGCAGGCCAAGGAGAGCATGAGGGCAACTCTCGGGTCCGTCGGCAAACCCTCTGGCCCTGCGAATGGGGTCGTCAACGTTCCGGGGGATTATGTTGCGGATCTGGCTCTCAACAAGCAGTACTGGGAGCTGGTCTGCGACAAACTACGCGCTATTCAGGCAGTCAGGAATCTGCAGAAGGAAGACACGCCAGCAGAAATTTTGCAAGAGGCAGAGAGGGTCGTTCAGGAGGTCCGGGGCAAGATTCATGAGGCCGAGGCCAGGTATCAGCGTGAAACGGCAACCACCTAAGGGCATTTTTTACGATTACGCTAAAGGAAAAAAGAAGAATACTGTCACATTGTGCCGCAGTATTTTCTATTTCGTGAGAGCCGGAGCCATCTCAAGCCTTTTCTTCTAGTCTCAGAACACGGATAGCGTTTGACCCCATGATCGCCTTGGCCTCGGCGGATCCTTCACCAACAGCCTCGGCAACAGCTCGTGCATTCAGACTGACGCTCTCCCACTGTCCTTGTTCGTCAGTCGTGATGGGCGGGAAGAACGGATGGTCGGTGCCAAACATGAGTCTGTCGGAACCGCTTGCGTCGATTGCGGCCTTCAACCCGACCTCTGAATATATCACGGCATCCAGATAGACCTGCTCCTTGAGCACATCCCAGACCGTGCGGCGATTTTCCCCAACTTTGCCCTCCCGAACAAGCTGCCCATCGTGGAAGATGCAGCTCTCGATGCGGCCCGCGAGGAACGGCAGGGTGCCGCCACTGTGCGCGAGCACCATCCTCAGGTCGCGGACCTGGTCAAAGACGCCGGCCAAATACATGCGTGCCACGGCAATCGTCGTCTCCATGGGGAAGCCCAAAGCCAGCGGAAGAACATGGCCGTACTCGCCAGCACGGGGGCCCCACACGTCGTTGGGCAGGCCGTAGTGAGGATGAAGGAAAATGGTGAGATTTGCGGCAGCCAGTGCCTCGAAAATTGGAATGAGATGAGGGTCGTCCAGTCCCTTCCCGAGCCCCGAGGTGCCAAGGATGACACCGCGGCAGTATTTCAGGGCCGCGAGGTGGGATATCGACGCCAGAAGCGTCTCGAGCGGTGCGGTCAGAGGCAGCGTGCCGAAGAAGAACAGCCGGCCGTGGTGTTTGCCGCACATGTCTGAGAATTCGACGTTGACAGACTCGGCGATGTCGCCGGCGTGGGAGGCGTGGACAAAGTCCAGCCACGGGTTAGCTAGAGAAATGACAGATATATCGATGCGATGCGTGTCCATGAAATGAATCTTTTGGTCGAGCGATGCGAAGTGAGATGTGAGCGGTCGTCCGGGGGGCTTTGCTGAGGGGTCGTTGATGGCTTTTTCCAAGTCTCCGAGCTCAGCTTCCAGCAGAATGAGACGGGGCTCGGGGGCTTGAGGAAACTTGCGGACCAAGGGGATTGTCGTCCGAGACTCGAGAATCTTGATATACTGGGGGGGATACATGTGGGTGTGGATGTCCACGACGGTTGGATTGGACGTGGCCATGTTGGGCTGGTCGTCTGAGCGTGGATGGATGAAGCCGAATCTGCTGCAGTGAGATGTAAATCAAAGAGAAGCAAATGTGCAGATGCGTTCAACGTTGACATGGCATGGGCGTAGTAGCGGCACCGCAATAGTATCTGGTGTGTGGCTGCCCCTCGTCTGTGGTCTTGCAGCGGCACCGAATTGGGACTGGTCAATGTTGGTTTATACTTGCCGCTCCCTCTTTTTTATTCTTGTCTTTTTATGTCGTGATCTGGGGATGACGTTGGGCACAACAACATGCCGTCTTGACCAGTAGAATCGCTGGCCAAGTCTCCAATTCAACCAGCATTCAGTTATAGCACATGCGACCCAAGCATCTGTGCCGTGGCAGGCGAGCCATGATCACGTTGTATGCCCCGCACAGGAATACAACATCACGTCTGCGGGTGTCCCCTTAAAGTCAGGTAGATAAAGATATGGCAAGTGGCATTGGAGGGCCAGAAATTTGGCTGAAGCGTCGGCCGTGGCCGCTCACGGTCCAAGCAGAGAGCCTTTTCTAGAGTCAACACAACACGACAAAAAAAAAATAATAAACCGATACATGTTCCCTGCTCTTGGATTGTGGGTGACTGGCATGGGTAAATATCTTGAGAGATATGTTATCTATGTTCTCAAGTGGTTGCATGTTTTGGTCGATTGGCCAGGCCATTGGGGGCGTCGATTCTCTCCACTGGGCCCCGCTAGTCAACCACTTAGCCGCTGACGGGTAGTGAATATCGATCAATCGATTGATCCCAGTGCCGTCGGCCACTATCAGCCACTGGCTTAGGCGCTGTGGGGAGCTGGCCATCTGCAGGTCTGCGGGGAACCCTGATTAGCGGTTCGTCAGCCCATCCATGTTCACTCTTGACGCCAAACTTCAGAAGCCGTCCGACGATGTTGAGGCGACTCGCAGCTGTGCCCTCGTAATGGAGGGTATGTCGGAAAATAGGCGAATGGGCTAGGCGCTCTGTCATGGTGCTGCCATTATGCGGCGGTTGCCGAGGGCGTTTTGGTTTAGGACGTTTGATTAGGTGGCAGCGTTGTGGCAGCGTTGTGGTAGCGTTGTGGTTGTATCTGTGTTGAATTCTGTAACTAGTACCTACCTACTTAGGTATATGAGGCTTGTTTCGCCCGCTTGTGCACCTTCCCATTGAAACTGGAAATTTATCGCCAGACCTCTCGTGCTGGGTCCCTCCCTCGACTTGCCCGCATAATCACTGTGATCCTCAATTTTTATCGTGTCTCATCATTTTCTTTATAAACGAAATGGCGACCGACGCTGCGGTAGCCAAGGAGGGCCTGGTCATTCCTGTAAGTGGCAAGGCGATGCGCTTTGTAGCATCACCACTCCGCCATCTGCTTCGCTCTGGCGCCACTGACGGTTCCTTTATGCATACTGAACTCTGCTCCAGCTCATAGACTTTTCCAAGTTCCTCACCGGAACCCCTGATGAGCAAAAAACTGCTGCCGAGGCTATCCTCCATGGCTTCCAAACCGCAGGCTTCATATACCTCAAGAACCACCCAATCCCAGTCGATGTCCTCAGTCGGACTTTCGCCCGCTCCGCCGATTTCTTCGCTCTCGACACTGACGCCAAGATGAAGCTGGGCTGGACCACGCCTGAAGCTAACCGCGGCTACTCCTCGCCAGGTCGTGAAAAGGTCACCCAGCTGGAAGACATCGCCGAGGTTGAGAAGGTCCGAAGCGCGGCTCCAGATTTGAAGGAGAGTTTGGAAATTGGCCGTGATACCGACCCAAAACACCCTAACCAGTGGCCGGCTGAGGATGGCAAACTGAAGGGTTTCAGAACAGACATGAACGACTTCTTTAGCCAGTGTCAAAAATTACACGTGGAGGTTATGAGGGCCATCGCCTTGGGAATGGACCTACAAGAAGATTTCTTTGATCGGTTTGTGCATGTTGGGGATAATACGCTGCGGCTGTTGCATTATCCCTCTGTAAAGGCAGATGTGTTTAGGGTCAATCCTGGGCAGGTGAGGGCCGGTGAGCACAGTGTAAGGCTCAAGGCCCATCCAACTTTTGTCCTTGCAAATTTACCGTTATTAAATTGTATTAGGGGAGAACTCACTGACCAAAACATAGGACTACGGCTCCATCACCCTGCTCTTCCAAGATAGCCGCGGCGGCCTACAGGTCAAAAGCCCAACCGGCTACTTTGTCGACGCCACTCCCATCCCAGGAACCATTGTTGTCAATGCAGGAGATCTACTAGCTCGCTGGAGCAATGACACTATCAAGAGTACTATCCACCGAGTTGTCGAGCCACCCCGGAAGGAAGACAGTTCCTACCCTCCCCGATATAGTATCGCGTACGTATTGATACCTCATACATAACGTGACGAGGGCCAGTCTCGAAAACTTCAGCACAGAAACTAACTTTGATTCGAAATAGGTACTTTTGCAACCCTAATACGGAAAGCTTTATTCAGACCTTGCCAGGGACGTATGCTACGGAGAAGGATAAGAAATATAAGGGTGTGAATAGTGGCGATTATTTGGTGCAGAGACTGACAGCCACGTACTGATAATATAACTCTGGGTAGTGAATTTCTGGGAATACACACAACTTTCAAAATTTGCAAAGATGATTTCGCCATGATGCCCAAGGTTTGCTTCGCCTACAGCGGTTACGGTGCAACCAATAGCAGCAGAGCCAAGCCACACCTGCAGCCTTCAGCAATAATACATGAAGAGGGGTGAGCATGTTCCCATGGTGACAAAACGAAGACTCATTCTCATCCTTGGTAATTGTCATGAATTTATCCCCTTCATAGTAGCGACCGGTGATATCTGGTGGTGTTCACCATGGGCTCATCGCAAGGCGCGAACAGCCTGGTAGGTTGCCCTAGCCGACACATTGACGACTTCTTTACCCGAAATGCCTTGGACTACCAAACCCGCAATCAATGTCTACGATTCGCGCAGCTCATATTCCCCGGGGAACTCGTTGGTGAGGCTGACACCCAGGGCGAGTGCTCTTACACTGTGGCCGTCTCGACAACTCACCTACTTCAATTCCGGCCGGGACGATTCAGCCTAGACATGGAAATATACAAAGACGCACGACATATATTCAAACACCTCGTTTCCGAAACGACGTATTTGGGCCCTTTCAGCGGCATCCCAGCACCCAGAATTCCGCACATCAATCCACCATTGCTACACGTCTATCTCATGAACAAGGTGCCCGGCGTCAGACTCTCCGGAATTCCACAAATACACGGCAACCCCCACAGGGAGTTCCGCCACAACCTCGTCCGAGACATGGCTGCCATCTTTGCAAAATCATATCACCACGGTGTGCCCTCTCGTCGTCGTCACACCCTCCCGGCAGGCAAAGGCATCCAGGGACGAATCGGGTCCTCTCTCCGATGGCGGGCAAACCTACTCACAAGTATAGCAGACGCAAAACTATCCCAGGAAGCACAAGCGACGAAATACCACCTCGGTCATATTGAGCGATTACCGTGGTGCTTAACACACGGGGACCTCATACCAAGTAACATCATGGTTGATCCGCAGACGGGCCACATCACAGGTTTACTAGACTGGGCCGAGGGCGAATGGCTGCCGTTGGGCGTAGGCATGTACGCCATAGACGAGTGTTTAGGGCAAGACGACGCAGAGAAGGGGTTTGTGTATTTTGACGATCACGCGGAGCTGAGGGCGTTGTTCTGGAGGACATTCCTGGGCCTCTGTGAAGGACACACGCCGGCACGGAATGACGTTCTCAAACTGAGCGAGGTGGAAATGGCGAGGAGATTGGGACTGCTGCTCTGGCACGGCATAGCGTTCGACGACGGGAGGCTGGATAGGTTGGTTGAGGCGGGGAGGGACGACGGCGAGTTGAACAAATTGAGGGTGTTGCTGGATGCGCCAAGCCTGTTGGAGAGCATCTCCACGCCGTGAAAGGCAGGAGCTGTCAGCAGGAAGACCCCCGGACCCCACCTGCCTCGGCCCGCCAACCCGTCGTCGCGTGCCCCAACATTTTGCTCCCAACTCCAACACCAAAAATCTCCCATCACCACCACAAACACCACGCCAGCCAAGCCCCAATTGTACCACGCCGCCATGGCCGACAAGCCCAAACCCGCTGCAAAGCAGGCGTCGCCCCTCAAAGATGCATACCTCATCCTCTACAACTTCGCATCCGCAGTCGCCTGGAGCGTGGTGCTCGGCCGCACCCTGGCCGTGCTGTACCTGCGCGGCCCGGCAGCTGTCTACGCCGTCGTGGGCGAGTGGACGAAATGGACGCAGACCGCAGCCGTCATGGAGATTCTGCACTCCCTGCTAGGTAAATTACCCCTGACTTCTGGATAATTCCCCCCTCCCCAAAAAAAAGAAGCAGACCAACTCACAACCCATATAACCCGCAGGCGTCGTCCGAGCCCCCGTGTCCACAACCGTAATGCAAGTCTTCTCGCGTCTCCTGCTCGTCTGGCCCGTCGTAAACACGTGGCCATTCCTCGCCCTCTCGCCCTTCTACTCCTCCATGCTGGTCGCCTGGTCCGTCACCGAGGTCGTCCGCTACAGCTACTTTGCGCTGTCGCTCGCCGGCGCGCTGCCCTCGTTCCTGACCTGGTTGCGGTACAGCATGTTTTACATTCTGTACCCCATGGGCATCACGAGCGAGTGTATGCTAGTTTATGCGGCCACCGGCCCCGCGGCGGAGAGGAGTAGCTTTGCGCCGTGGGCTCTCTATGCCATTTTGGCTATTTACGTTCCTGGTACGTTTTTTTTTTCACTGAGGTGACTGTGCTAGGAGGCGGTTTTTAATTCTTCTTCGTTTGGGGCTAACGAGTTAGCAGGGTCTTATGTTCTGTTCACGCATATGATGAAGCAGAGGAGCAAGGTTCTGCGTTCGTCCAAGACCAAAAAGGGTGACAAGGCGCAGTAAACCTGACGGGTAGTTTTTTTCTTTTCTAAAGAATGACTGAGGACGCGAGCGGTTTAATTCTTGCGTGGATAGTGTACGGTATGGATATGAGAAAAAAGCAGGCATTCTGGTAGAAATGGAAGGGGCCGAATCTGGGGTGTGCCAACGGACAAACGTGGACAGGCATGTATGTACATTGTAATTATAATTGTGATTATCATAGCTATGAGCTTGGTGCGATTTTCTCCGTATTCTCTTTTTCTTCTTCTTTTTCTACTCCTTTCCCCTTCTCGTCCACCTCTACACTTTCCACCTTCTCTGCTGTTGTTGTCTCTGTCGACTTATCATACCAATCGTTCCGTGACCACTGAGCAATCAAGCCAGCCGCGTCATGGGATAACTTTTCATACCCAGGGTTCTCCTTTGGTTCAAACATGGCTATACAAGTCCCATTAGCAAGATCTTACCATGATAACAAACCGCCCCCTCAAGGTAGAAACTTACTCATATGTGCCACCGTCTCATCTCCCGCTTTATCGTTGACTGCCTCCATCCAGTCTCCCGCATTCATCGTCTTGGGCAAGTTGCAAAACGTCCTGTCCTTGCCCAGGACGGTCCCAGCCATGCTGATCTTCTTGGAAGACGCCCCCTTGCCCAACCTCGTGTACAGGTTGGCATATCCCACGCCCAACTCCTCGTGAAGCCGCACCACGAAGGCCACGCGCTTCTTCAGCTCCTCGGCCCTCGCGAGACAGCCCACAAACTCGAGGTGAGACGACGCCCACGTCCAGCTCTCGGCGATCTGGTCCCTGTTCATCCAGGCCGCAGCTCCGCCGGCGGCCACGGCGCCCGCCGCGCCCGCGTACATGGCCACCTTGCCCCATTTCTGCCACGCGCTCGGCGGCGCGGCCGGTGCCTTGGCGGTGGTGTTTCCCGCGCCCCAGAGCGCCGTCCGCAGGCCGCCCATCTGGGAGATTGTCGACGCCGCCGTCCCGTAGTGGCTCTCGGCGCCGTGGGCGACCACGCCCGGCGATATCCCGAGGTACGGCGTGTCAAAGGCCAGCACGCCCTGGACGTAGGGGAACATGAGGGCGTTGAAGGCGGGCCGCCCTTCGTCGTCGTCGGACTTGCGGATCCCGTCCTCCGAGTAGATGGGCTTTTCCGACGCCAGCGCGATGAGGAGCTCGGCGGCGACTATACCGCCCATGGAGTGGCCGACGAGGATGGTCCGGACCGAAGGGTCGACTGTGGGCGACGCCGTGCCCGACGCTACCTCCATGTCTATGACCTTGTCCTCCAGCCTGTGCGGTTTGACGAATTCTCAGTCAGCCCCGTGCTAGCCAGGCGTCTCACTCGCCTACATGGATGGTCTGTAATCTGTATGTCCCGCCAGGAATCATACAGCGATGCAAAGGGGCAACGAACCAGTCGCGGAATCGGCTCACGCACTCCCCCAGATCCCCTCTCGTCTCATACTTGGGGTACACCAACACCCGCACGTCGACCTTGGGCAGCTTCTGCGCAACAATGTCGCGTAGGTGCTTGGTGAACTCGTAGTCGTCTCCAAAGGTTGATTCGCCGCCCTGCGAGACCGCGCGTCAAGACCCTGTTACATGCATGTGTCGCCACTACGGCGGGCTCACGTACCTTGAAGCCGTGGATAAAGCACAGCAGCAGCGTCTTCTTCATTATGCGAAATTGTCATCGAGCGGAATCCAGTTTCGACTTTGAAAAGGACTCATTTATTCTGTTTGATGTATGTGTACCGCGGCCTGGGATGTCAGTGGCGAGCAGATTGCTTGATTGTGATGTGGATCAAGTTGAGTCGAGTTGCGTTGTGGCATGGCAGGAGTTGCGCATTACTGGCCATTTGCTCCGTCTCTCTTTGTTCCTGCCGACTGCCACACAACACGACGTATCAGCACCGCCAACACACCAACACGCCAACACACCAACACAGTTGAACACACCACCACGCACCTGGGGCGGCCACACGCTCCAGCATCCATTGATGTCAATGATTGACCACGCAGTGACGTAAGAGAGACTATGGTCTTGTTTCCGCTTCCTAGGCCTAGGTCACTTGCTGGCTGGCGGGCCTTGTTCGCATTGGTTCAATGTCGATTCTCATTCATGTGCCACCTTCGCATACTCGGTCACATTAAACTGCGTTTGTACAATCTTCGTCGATATCTTCTACTAAAATACATTTTTGACTCCGTATCTAAACATGCCTGCCCAGGTCGAGGAGTGCCGAACGCTCTGCAAGCTTCGTCTCTGCCTCGACTGCTGCACCTCCTCGTCCCATCGTTTAACCACCATTTGCGTACGCTTGGTATTTGAATCCACCCTAGGCCGCTCCGCTCCATCCCTTTGATACACGTTTATAAACTCCCAGCCAGATAAACGCCGAGAAACAAAATGCATTTGCCAAACAGCTGCAAAACAAAAAGACAAACCCCGGTTGCCAAAATGACCATGTGAAACAGATCCGCCACGCTGCATCATCAGTACTTGGGGATGCAAGCTGGGAGTATTATTAATATCCTGCAAAGGTCGTGGTGCTTCCTATCCCTGCTCCGTCGCGCCAAGCCGAGTTTCTTCGTGTACCTCATTCCTCGTCGCTCTGGGCGGACGACTTGGCGCCGTTGACAGCCTCACTGGCGCGCGCGCTGCTGGAAATAATCTTGATTCTAGTGCCACCGCTTGGCTGTGGTGTGCTTGCTCCTTGGCCCGATGGAGCAGCAGATCCGGCCTTGCTGCCCCCTTCTTCCAGCTCTTGCAATTCGGGATGAGCTTCTAGTTCCTCTTGGAACTTCTTGTTAAAGAATTCCTGCGCAATGCCGTTAGATATGGTGTCTTGGAAATCATTTTGTGCTGCTTCCAACTTACCTCCATAGTCTTGGCATCCTGATAGAGAATGCTGCCGTCCTCGTTGTAGGTCTGGCAGTTGCGGATCATGAGTTGAAAATCCTTTCGCAAGTCACTGAGGCTTGAGTACTCTTCCTTCTTGATACGCGTCTGGATATGATTCATGCAGATGGGATTCTGGATAATCACATAATAGTCGGCGTAGTCCCTCTTGGGCGGCAGCTTGATGAACGGACCGATGATGAGGCGCTTGCCAGCATCCGACTCGTCATCCTCAGCCGGCGGTTCGATGTCGTCCACTTCCAGGTTCATCAAGGCATCGTAGAGGCCTCGTAAGCTCTTTTGCAAAACCTCACGCTGTTGAGGACTGACTCTGGAATCGGCGGCAGCGGAGCCACCCTTGCTCTGTCGACCTTGAGGACCCCGTCGCTTCTTGGCTGGGGGTTCTTCATCGCCATCCTCCGCCTTGCGTTTCTCATTCTTGCTACCAGGTTTGCGGCCACGCTTCTTTGGAGTCTCAATCTCTTCTGTGCTCGCGCGACTAGCTGAGGGTGAGTTATCAATCGAGTTCAAAATTGCCACTTTCTTGAGCCTGTTTGCCTCTCGCTTGTCCTTTCGGGCTTGTTTACGGGCGGCGGCTGCCTCGGGTGAATCCTCGTCATCGTCCACAGCCAGCAACCATTGTTCTTCTGTTAAGCCATCGTCGTAGCGCACCTTGGTACGTTCACGAGCACCACGGCCAAGTACAAGGTCCTCAGTCTCCTCCTCAACCACATTGCCCTCGTTCAAATAGATATCAGGCAGCTCATCATCTCCCATGAGTCTAGGCTTGGCCTTTGTACCAGCAGACATACCATAGACAGGGTCCCGAGCCCGCTCCTCGTCAATCTTCTGGAAAACTGTAATTTCATCATCGCTACGTGCAAGCATCATATTCAGTTCCTCGTCTTCCATGTCATCTTGTTCCCCGCTTTCAGCCATGTCAGCACTCTCAAGCAGGGTTCGAAGCATAGCGTCACGGTCAGTTTCTGAAGACTTGTTATCGAATCGACCGGCTTGAATGACCTTGCCGTCCATGTCCAACTTGAATCTAGCACGTTCCAGGATCTTCTCTTCGACAGAGTTCGAACTGATCAATCGAAGAATTCGCACCTCGTTCTTCTGGCCGATACGATGAGCACGATCCTGAGCTTGAAGATCTTGGTGAGGATTCCAATCAGAGTCATAGATGATGACGGTATCAGCGGTCTGCAAGTTAAGACCAAGACCACCAGCACGGGTGGATAGTAAGAACATAAAGTACTTCGAGTCGGGGGCATTGAAGTCTTTGAGCAAGTCTGATCGTTCGTCAGATTTGGTCGTACCATCAAGACGCAGATACTCGAATTTTCTGTAGCGCAAATAATCCTCCATGATGTCCATGATTGCCGTCATCTGGAAGAACATCAAGACGCGATGGCCCGTGGCTTGGTACTTGGGCAAGATGCGGTCCAAGAGCTCGAATTTACCAGCTGTTCTCCATAACAAGTCGTTGCTGATGCTCATTGGGTTCATGACATTCTCAACTTCATCAAAGACAAAGGGATGGTTACACAACTTGCGGAGCTGCATAATCATGTTACTCAAACCACGAGCATTCGTCTTTCCACCCTTGCCATCGCTCACCACCAGTCTGTTGTGTGTGACCATTTGCTTGTACAGCTTGGCCTGGAGGGCGGAGAATTTGCACTTGATGACCTTTTCAGTCTTGTCGGGCAAATCCTTCTCCACATCCTTCTTCAAACGCCTGAGCAAGAATGGTCGCAGGACCTTGTGCAAACGACGAATGACGAGAATTTGCTCTTCTTCCGTGAGCTCCATCTTATCTTGACCACCGGTATTGGCAAATGGAGTATTGAACCACTCGTCGAAAGTTTTGACAGACTTGAAAATGTTCGGCAAAACAAAGTTAAGCATAGACCACAGCTCGGCCAGGTTATTCTGAAGCGGAGTTCCCGTGAGAATCAGACGGAATCGAGTTACGTAGTACTGCTGGATAGTAGCACTGAGCTTGGAGTTGCTATTCTTCATACGATGACCCTCATCGATAATCATGTGGAACCACTTGATCTTGCTAAGAATCGGCCGGTCCTTGATAATATATTCGTATGTGGTCAAGAGAACCTGGAATCGGCCCTGTCGAATCTTCTCCTGCTGTAGTTTTCTGGCGTTGGGAGGTCCCTTGTAGACGATTCGGCTAATAGACGGCGCCCACTTTTCAAATTCGAGGTTCCAGTTGGTGAGGGTACTGAGAGGCACAATGACGAGGTAAGGACCACTCTGCAGCTTGCGCTCAATGAGATAGGTGATCAAGCTGATGGTCTGAATCGTCTTTCCGAGACCCATTTCATCAGCAAGGATACCGTTGAGGTTGTTGTTGTACAAGGATATCATCCATTGTAGACCCTTGATTTGGTACTCCTTCAAGGTACCACCAACCAACATGCTGGCCTGCTCAGTGACTTCTTCTCTGATGCGATGTGCAACAGCATAGTAGTCAATCTTCTTGCCACTCTCCTCTTCCTCGTCGTCGCTCTCTTCCTCAACAAATGGCTCCGCATCATCACCGTAGGCCTCAGCAGCATGGCGTTGCTGGGCCTTAACCGAAGACGCCAATTGGTGCAAGAAACCATCAGTTTGCTTGAGAAGATGCGTAATACGAGTATCCTTGGCCTGGTCAAGCAACTTGAGATATGCCTCCTCGTCGTTGGCCTTGAGAGCCTGCAAACGCTGCTTGGCCGTTCTCTCAATGCGCTTCTGTTCTTCCTTTTCAATATTAAAGTGTTGGGCATACATGAGACGGCTGAGCTTGTGTGATTTGGTCTTCTGAGAATTGGCACTCTCTTGAATTTCAGCGCGGTGGTGACAGATGGCACGCAAGAAATCGCTGTGCTTCTTCTTCTCCCGATTTTCGCGCGCATCACGCTGTTGCTTCTCAAGTTTCTCAGTGATGCGAGCCTCACGAACATTCTGCTTCTTCATTCGGCGGTAGTGACTTCGGTTCGTCGTCATGGCCAAATTATCATAATGCATCATCTGTCGACCAATTTTTTCACGCAAAGCCCTTTGCTTAGCATACAAAGCAAGGCTCTTCATTTCAATTATGGCCTTTCGCTTCAGTGTATCATCGGCCTCGAGAATCTCCTTTGTGGAATCCCAGTGAGCCAAGTTTGCCGGCAAGTCTTTGAGCTGAGAAAACCGTTGGCTCATTCGATTGAAGATGACAACTTCTCGCTCGTACCGCAGGTGGTCAAAGTCAATACCAGTCGGGAAGACGCCGGGAATGAACCACCGGTTCTTGCGCTGCGCATGGTCAAGATATTTTATCGAGGGTCGAATCATACTCGTACCATACGGCGACTTTACAGTCTTATACGTGTGAGCCTTGGGGATGGGTGATTCGTCTTCGGTTGCCATTTCAGGCCCTGCTGAAGGTGCCTTTTCCGCATCTTGACTCGGCTGTGCGTTCTTGGCAGAGTTTGAGGCGTTATCAATGGCAGTGGTCTGCCGACGCTGTCTTTGGTTGAAGATGGCCTGCTGCAATTGGACAGACACACCAGCATTCTTGCCAAGAAGCTTAAATGCGTGGATCTGTTGCCTCAAAAGAGCAAGCTGTTGTTGGCTGAACTGGGTTGAGCCAGAGCCCGACGCAGGCGATGCAGTGGAAGCGGCGGCGGGTGTCTGTGCCGAGGCAGAGGCTACTCCTCCTTGCGAAGCAGCGTTGGGTTGCGTCGATTGAGGAGTGCCTGGTTGCGGCCGGCCGCCGGTTTGTACACCATTTTGCATCTGCTGCTGTTGTATGAACTGTTGTTGGTTTCTGCGCATGTTGTGTTGTTGCTGGAAGCTCATCAAGAAGTGGGAGGCCTTGATGTATTCGGGGTCCGTTGGGGGGACGCCTTGCTCTTTCATCTGCTTCAGCTTCTATATATGCACCAATCAGTATCCCCGTCATCAAATATCGCGTGTCTGGCATCGACATGGTGATCCAGTGTCGAACAAACATGCTCAATACATACCCTGAAGACTTCCTCAGCTTGTTGCTTGGTTGCGCCGGCAGGCATCGGCGCACCTGGGGGTTGCACCGCAGGCGGAGCTTGCACCGACGCCATGATGGAGCGGTGGTTGTTTTATCGTCTGCACCGAAAATATACCCCAATGGTCAAACAATTGTGATTTCGAATTATTTACGGTGCATGACGATGGTGAGCTGGCTGTCGATGGTTGTAGCGCGAGCACAGGTAGCACTCGAGCGTTTCGCGAAGTGGTCAAGAGGGAGGGAGAGTCACGCCAAAAAAAAAAACGAAAGCGGAATGCGATAAAAAAAAACCAGGGTCGCGTCAATGCTCGGCGAATGGAGCGTTGCGCAGCGAGAGATTTTATCTAAGTGAATGTACACACGTCGTGAAAGCGTGTTGCAAGTGGTTTGATATCCGCTACCGTCGCGTTGGACGGGCTGGATGTATGTCGGCCGGCGAGGCGTGGGGGCGGGTAATAGACAAGGGACTGAGGGAATCTAGGAAACCACCAGACGTGAGGCCAGGAGATGGCGAGGGAGTGAAAAAGTGTGAATGCAGTGACGCGGCGCGTCGGGGCTGGTGCCTCGAGCGTAGAATGCGTGCAAATCGCGTGCAACACCAAGTTGGCGAGGATTGGAGATGGCTGCGGATGGTTTGCGAGGGGACCTGGCGATTTTCGGGATGCGCGCGCGCTTCCTCGCTGATTGATGATGGGGAGTGGTGAAGACAACGGACAAGAATGAGCGTGATGGCTGGTGCGGTCTGTGGACGCTTGGCCACGGTAAATTTCAGCACGCCCTCTGCGCAGGCAGAATCCCGCCACTCATGCTCGAGGGCGACACGGTGATTGGTCTAATGCGGTCACGTGAAGCCTGAAGGCCCGTGGCGAGGTCACGGAGCCGCTAATCCCCGGTGCATTAGATAATCCACAGAGTGCGTGCGGAGGACGGAAGACGGACGGACTTTATCGAGTCATGGAGTGTCGGTTGAGAGGCATAATGGGGCTACATTCTGGTTCTACAGGTCGGCCTAGCTGTTCTCATACATCACAAAGGTTAGAAAGACGCCTAGACCGGCAACAAACACGTCAATACTTGGGTCGATACATGAAGCGCTAGGGCTCCTGCCATCCAAGCGGTTCATCTACGCCATCACGCTGCATGAGACACACCACATCCTTTGCGTCATGCATACATACCAAAAATGGCCGAGCAAAGCACAACTCGGCCAAATTAGTCCTTGTGGACCTCCCGCTGCCAGTACGGAGTACTAGTGGCGGGCGTAATCGCTCGCAGGGGTTCGCGCTTAATCTTTGAATCAATTGATTGCAAAGGGGTACATATCGTCGTAGTACTACAGTCTGTACTCCGTAGTAGTAATGTATTTGTCAATCTAAAAGTATACACCGATATTAATACCGTGATATTACAGCTTAGAGCGCGATAGCCAGGTACCTGCTCCGGATAAGTACTTCTTGCCTTTCACTGTACTTTCATCTCCTCACCTTCTTCTTGTCTGGCCCATCCTCCTCTTCGTCGCTCAGCTCTGCGTACTGTGTCTTGGGCTGTGTCTTGCTCCATGCTTTGGTAAAGATCGGGTCATTTTGGGCCTTGTCGGCATACTTCAGTAGCGCCTCCCGAGGATCCTCGTGTAACATGCGAGCAAGTGGGATGTTCTCAGCAACATGCTTCTCGTCTGGTTGGTTCTTTTGAAATGGAGTTTGCTGAGGGACGTGGGGTCGACGTGGATCCTTCGATCGCCCAGTCCCAGTCACACCCGACTTCCTAGCACCAGACAGGGCACCGGGTGTGATAATTGCGTCTCCAGACATGCCTAGCCCTTGATCCATTGTCAAATTCGGGTCATCGTCGATATGTCGCTTCTTCGGTGCTCGAGACATGACTTCCACGGCGCCGCGGTTCGATGTTGTTGGGTTATACAAGACGTGCGTTTCAGCGTTGGCCGAACCCGTAATAATCTGGTTGATTTTTGGATGCCAGTTCACGGTAATCAGAGCCGACCCGGGTGTTATAGGAGTCACGTGTTCAGCCCGAAGGTTGCCAGGGTTTAGAATGTGTAAATGGCCCGTCTCCGAACCCGTAATGATGCTGGTGGAGTTTGGCGAGTATTGAATATTGCTGGTAGGGAAGTGGTCCGACGTAGATGTATGAGAGACGCTGACGAGAGGTTTGGTGAATTTTCTGGTATCCCAAAGCTTGATCAGATCGTCGCCTCCTCGTGTAACTACCATGCGGCCATCAGAAGAAATATCAATGCCGCTAGTCCAGGTATTTGGCTTGTGGGCGTTTTGGATTTCACCCGCAGGTCGGGTAAACGGTCCATTGCCACCGTACATGACCAAGGTCCCGTCGAGCGCTACACTCACGAGCACATTATTGCCGCCCTGAGATGGCTTGCCCCAGGCTACCGCCGTCATTTTTGTTCTGCCAGCTGAGCCTGCAGCTTTAGACTTGAACACCACTACCTCCTTCTGAGATCGCTTATTGTTGATGTCCCATATTCGTAATGTGCTATCCGTGCCGGACGTGATGCAAAGATTCTTGTCTGTTGGGTGCCATGTTCCGCCAGTGATCTCTGAAATGTGCCCTTTCGTGTTGTTCATGTCTCTGAGATACATGTCTCCTTTGACGAATTCGGTGAGGATTCCACCATCTCTTGACATGATTTTGGCTTGCGGGTGCGCAGAGACACACAGGAAAACGCCTCCGGAAAGCTCGTTAAATTCCACGTGGTGGATAGGGTGCGATTCTGCGGTGGCTGCGGATTTCTTCGTTTCATAAGGGTCAACGGTCTTGAATGCTCGTAGTGTTGTTGGTGTCATGGACGCAAAGTCATGAAAATTGATCACACAATCCAGAGAGGCTGTTAACAGTCGACCTCCAGAAGGATCTAAGGAAACCGTGGTGACCGCACGGTTGTGTGTCTTCAAGACAAGTTCGTGCGACACTGGATACTCGTCTCCATCGTCCGAATCGTCCGAATCGTCCGAATCGTCTGAATCGTCGTCGCTGTCGTCGCTATCACTAGAACTGCCTTTGGAATGTGGTTTCTTTGCCTCCGATACGCTTGCATCTAGAGCACCAGCAGGGGCCTTGCCGTCCGCGTTCCTCTTACTTCTGTCGATCTGGGCCGCAATGTTCGCTTCCTTGGACTTCTTGCCAAACGAGGCTGGAAGGAAGGCTCGCATGGGGTCATCCTCTGCCAAGTCGGGAACCTCTATTTCGAAATCATAGTCGCTTGCCATATCTAAGACTTCGCAGCATAGCGGCGAGTGCTGATTCTGGAAGGATTTAGGGAGTGCGAGGGTTGGAGCTCGAGATGCGAATTCCTTTGCGACTAGAATCGCGCCGTCACGTGTGGGGCCAAGTCTCTCGGTACTTGGCCGTGGTGCGAGTCCATTTGACATCAACACCAGACTCTCAATATTCGGCATTGGAGAGCTAAAATCGGCATATGTACTAATCGTAGTTCATCAAGATGAAAGCTCAATACATGGTTCGATCTTACAGCCAGCCAGTCTTGTTTCGCGCCCATCCGTCCCCGTCGATTTCGTTCTCTCACCGCGACTTCTCTGCATTGCGCAAGTGACCTAGTCTCTAGTTTCCAGTTGCAAACAACCCTTGCTGCGACCCGGCCATCACGATGCTTTTTCAATCAGGCACCGCTTTCCTTTGGGGCTCATCAAAAAATAGATCGTCTCATTCATGTCATCATCCGACATTCCTTCACGCTCAGACATACATGCAGTTGGAAATTCCTGGAAAAAACGAGCCGCGGCGAGCCGAAGCTCGATATACGCCAAGTGCAATCCTATACAAACTGAGTTGGTGTCAGCGGTCAAGTCTTGCTCATAGGCAGCACGTAAGTTAAAGGACATACTTCTTGGTCCACGACCAAATGCCATGAAGGCCTCCTTCATAGCCTTTGTTGGCGCCGCCCACCGATAGGGGTTAAACTCGTCAGGGTTTGGGAAAATGTCTGGATGTCGATGCATCGTGTACGCTTGGGTGGCCACCGTGGTACCACCTGGGAGCCAGTAACCTCCAAGCTCTACTCCGCCTTGAGGGACCTCCCGGGGAAGTAGTGCTGGAGCTGCGGAATAGAGACGAAGCGTCTCTTCGACGCATTGGCTTAGGAGAGGCAGCTCTCGCAGATCATGTTCGGTGAAGTCATCGGGCAACGTTCGAAGCTCTTTCACAAGCGCATCCCGGAGCTCAGGACGCCGGCAGACGGACCAGAGCAAATAGGTTAGGGAATTCGATGTCGTATCACTGCCGGCTACAATCAAACCCTGGGCGTTTATGACGATCTCGGAGAACGACAACTTCTCATCCTCTCTGGCCTTGAACATCTTGGTGACAATTATTTGCTTTGGTACTTCTGGGTTCTGGTCAATCAAACTCTGATAGCGTTGGAGAGACTGTTCAGCATAGCCTATAATGCGTCTAGCTTGTTGAACGTTCTTCTGAAAGATGGGCAGTGGATATTTTCGTGCCAAAGCAATTACTCGTGGGAAGGTGATTCGAACAGCGGATACCACTCCAACTCCCTCCAAATCGCGGATGTACTGGTTTTTCTACCGCACAAACCGTGTCAGCGTCCTGTCAAGTCGACCGCATCAAGAGTTTGGCTTGGTGCCGGAACATACCTCGCCTTTCTCCAACATTTGGAACGACTCGCCGAAGGCAAGCTCGCCTATGACATCTGTTGCCATAAAAAGACACCATTTAAAGACATCCACAAAGCCTCGTGTTTGCATATCCTCCTTCATTCTCTGGATCGTCAACTCTACGCGGGAGGTTATTGCTGGGAGAAGCGACTTCAAGGACGACTCGGACAATTGTGCGGACATGAGTCTTCTCAATTTCCGATGATAGTCAACATCGGCAGTCGAAAAGATATTTGCCATGGGCTGTGCAGTCAAGTGTCTGTAAAATATGGTTTTGCGAAACGTCTCTTTGGTGCTGTAAACGATCTTCGTTGCATCGAGATCGGCCACGGAAACCTCATTAGGTCCAATCCGAACATACGGGCCTGATTCATGAAATGGTTAGTCCCGCCTCAGACATGCAGTGAAGAGACACGAAGCAATACCGAATTTCTTGTGCAAATTGTGGACATAGAACACTTTGTTCCCGTTGTAGTACTGATATTTGCCAACCAGGTCTGTCCACTTTGCATACCAAGGACCGGGCACCTTGGAAAGGGGATTGGATAAACCGGAATATATAAACTGTCATCCGTGGAGGTTAGTATGTCAATAGAATATGAATGCCATTCATGGTTTGTGCTAACATATAATACCGTTACTACCAGAGCGACGCCGACCAGTTCGGGAACATGGTCTGCCACGCGAGACTCCATTTCTTTGGTTTGTCTTGGGTAGTGCTTGGAGAGTTGGACTAGAGGTCGGCGAAAGAAGATGGGCAAACAGGTACCAGGCCTGTGTCCTGCTCATTCAATTTATAACTTGTTTCTACGGAGCCATCAGAGGTACTGATGCGTCACCAAGCTGCGTCCCGGCTGCATCCTCCACTGCTGTCCTTGCCAGCACTTACACCGTCAAGGCAGGCTATCGAATAGGATGCGCGAGATCCAAATTCAAAGGAGTTTATTCGGCCGCAAGTCGTAGCTTGCGAAACCAATATGCCATCCCATGTGCCCATAACGGCGGGAAATACGCAGTCCTTCCGAAAGAGCGAGGGCCGGTTTGGCCCCTCAAAGATCGGGCGTTCGGGGGCGTCACTGACCGACCTGGTCAGTTCTTCCACTCCCATGTAACCCTACATGGGATCTACTCGGCAGAAAGGGCATCAGAAATACGGGGAACAGTGCAAATAGTCTGGTGCTATTTGATCAAAGTCTCTTTGGCGGGGTCCGTAGAACAGCGTATGTATGTGTTGTTTGGTGGTACGGCATACTATTTCATGAGGCCGGGCAATCGGCCGATTTAACTTGCACGAGCAACGCGAGCTGAAGGCGGACGACTATTTCCGGCCTCTGGTTGCATGAGGTAGCATACCATGTTGCCACGTATGTTATCCTTGGTTCAAGTTTGCGGTCTTGAGCGGTCGGTGAGGCCAACAGGAGATTTTACTGGTTCCGATGTCGTCGCTGGGCAGTGTAAGTGTGTGGCTTGCGCTGCATTTCTGCACGGTCATGGCGGTGAATAAGCTGAACATTGCGGCAAGAACAGCATTTGAGGCCAGGAGAGCATTCATACTGCTGAGACTTTATTGCTTGATGGTAGCGTCAGAGGGACAAAAGCGCCGTGAATCCCCTTCATTTGCTGCCATAAACATTTATACTCATCAGGGATTTATCGGGCTTGGTTCAAGACGTATCACAGATACAACATTACCACAGGCGTTCTCGTCAGAAGCTTCAATCGGAAACAAGAAAGCGTGCAGAATCATGCGTGCTGCCGTCTGTTTAAACAGCTCTGCAAGCTGACCCTCCAACGGTACATTTGCCATTTCAGGCCATCCTCGCCCATCGGTTCCTCGGTCCTCCGACCCTGCATCAACAGAATATTCTTGGCTCCCAGCATACAAAGGACCATGCTCCGTAATAGGACATGTTTATCCCGAAGCAGCAAGCTCTGTACGGTGAAGACGGGACACGAGTGGATACCATGTATGTACGTGCGTGTATGGAAATGTGAATTATGATGCCGGCTGGTGGAGAGATGCACCAGACACGATATAGACGTCAGTCCCCAGATATAAACTTATGTCCTAGCTAACTTGCTTTCTACGACATTCGTATAACGACGAGTAGCTGGCACCTCCGCACGGTAGGATACCTTTAGCCTGCCAACATGGCTCGGATGAAAAGAGCGAATACAAAACAAATACAAGTAGGAAGTAACCTGACCCTCACATTGAAATATTGTGGCAGACCCGTGCAGCTATGAATGCGCAGAGCGTTGATGCAATTGAAAACACCGACACACAAGAGTCGAGACACCGCTCGGCGTTTGGCACTCGCTGGCATACGTCTTGTGTTTTCTGCTGTCCCCTTGGCCTGCCTCTTTCAGGATGGAATACGGACTAATGGCATCCCAACAAGAGACACGGTCTCGGTGGAAGACAAGGGATGTTTTCAACCAACTGGATAGACTGCAGAAATAAAATCAGTATTTCCAACTCATGTGGTTATATGTGGCATAGCCGCTTACAAACAAGACACTTGCCAGGCCTGTTGTGATACTCGTTTCTGATTGGCTGCTACTGCCCTCTGTCTCGGTATCCATCGCGACGTCAGACGCGGCTGGCCGTTTTGTTCTTCTGCTTCTCACTACCACTCGGCAACCGCCCTGCGCCACAAGGATGCCTCCTAGTCCAGTTCTAGACGAGGAAGACGAGCAATATGCTTCGTCCCAAGACTCGGACTTTGCGCCCGACGAAGCGCCCGAGCCGGTATCCGACCAGTCCGATGCCGAAGACGCAGAAGAAGGCGAGAAGAAACGAAAGCAATCACAGCCAGACGGACAGGCTCACGACAATGGTTACGATAATTCCGGAGATGAAGCCATCATAGCAAAGGGCAAAAAGAGGCGGAAACGAGCAGAAGAGAAGGGACGCCCCGTGGACGAAGATGAAGGCGGCGAAGGAGGACTGGTCAAGACCCGTGCTCAACGTGCAGCCGAGTGCGTCCCTTCCCAGCCGCTTCCTCTCATGCGATTGACTGCAAGCTAATTTTTTTTAATTTTTTCGTGTCTCTGAAGAAAGGAGGAGCGCAAGTACGCCGTGAACAATGGTCCCGTCACAATCGACGTGGATGCCCTGTGGGCGCAGATGATTTCCGGCGAGCAAATCAAACCTAGTGCCCCGCCAGTCGAAGCAAATGGAGAGCATACAAGGGAGCCTTCCGACAGCAAGACAGCTCCAACGGCCTCGTCAGATGACCCCCAATCGGACACCATCCGCATCAAGCGCACATACAACTTTGCCGGTCGGGTTCACACCGAAGAGAAGATTGTGGCCAGAGATTCTGCCGAGGCGAAGCTGTACCTTGCGTCCCAAGGCCAGGACACACTCGACGTCGATTCATCGCCAACGAAGCGCGCCACAAGGAAAGCGTTCCGCTCTGCATTCGAGCCCATGATAGACGTCAGGCTGGGACGTGCAGACTTGAATCTCGGGCTTGCCGCAAGAATTCAAGCTGGCAAGGAGGCCCGAGCCAAGAAGCTCACTACAGTGGAGAAGAGCAGAATGGATTGGGCGGGATACGTGGACAAGGAGGGAATCAAGGACGAGCTGGAGTTGGCGAGCAAATCCAAAGATTCGTACGCCGCTCGACAGGACTTCTTGGCGAGAAGCGAAGCTATACGGGAGGACGATGCAAGGAGGGCCAGAATAGCCGGGAAATCATGATTACATTAATGGAGGCGCGATTGCATATTCGGGCGTTTGGGATGATACCATGGAAGTTGGGCTTCTGGGTTAAATGGGTCAAACAGAACGGTTCCTGTTCTCGATGTACGATACAGAAGGAAGAGCAATGGCTATTAGCACATGTGCCAAAAATGGTGCTTCACTACTTGAACATTTTCAAAACGAGAATCCAATTCGTCTCAAGTGCTTGCTAGATAGTTTTGGTGTTATGTTCTCCCCGTACTTTGAGCACCTTCAATGTTGGGGCCTGGCAACCGTACCTAGTACTCCGTACTTAAGGTAACTGCCAGGTACCTAGGCAGTGGGGCCATCGTCATAAAGTCTACATGTATTCCGCCGCTAACGTTCGCTAAGCATAAGGCTGAACATGAGCAGCCTCTCCAAAAATTTATAACGTTTTCACGTACCACCTCACCATTACCTCGACATACCACAGGACACCACGAATGATATAATGGCCGTCCTAGGCAAGCGCAAAGCGCCCGCATCATCAATATCTGAACCAGACGCGAATGAATTACTCCGCCGACATTTCGAGGCTAGGTTCCAACCACTCGAAGAAAGACTTTCCAACACAAAGTCGGAAGAACAGGCAGATGAGGGTGACAGTGACGAGGACTCCGAATGGGGCGGATTATCAAACGACGATGCCGCCGGCAGCGATGAGGAGGAAGGCGATGACGCGGAGGATCTTCTCGAGGGCGAGTCCGGCGACGACGGTAGGCTGTTTCCTCCCCGTCCTCGCAATTCACCGTACTGATGGTCAATCGACCAAGACACACCAGCAATCGAAATAATCGACCACTCAACCCCCCAGCTGCCCAAAGAGTCAATGTCCAAGCGCGAACTCAAAGCATTCATGGTCCGCCTCCTCCCCTCCCTGCATCACCAGCCAGACAGAGCTACTAACGCATCATCAGTCCTCGCGGCCCCCGGACCAATCCGCAACCCCCAACCCCATCCAACCCGCCGTCTCCTCCAACCCGTCCACCCTCCCCGAGGACGCACCCTCGCTCCTCAAACAGGATCTCGAACTCCGCCGCCTCCTCGCAGAATCGCACCTCCTCGCCCCCCACGCCGCCGCCAAGTCCCTCTCGTCCGCGTCCTCCTTCGCCGCGCAACCAAAATCCTTTGCGGCAGGTCGAACGCGGCAAAAGGCAACAGACCTACGTGTCCAAGCGCTCGGTTCGAAGCTGTCAATACATAAGCAGGACAAGATGCCGATGCACATGAGAAAGGGCATGGCTGTGGCTGCGGATGCACGCGAGGCCAAGAGGAGACGCGAGGCCAAGGAGAATGGAATCATTCTAGAGAGAGAAACGGGAAAGCAAAGGCGGACGAGAGGCCGGAGAAGTGATGTTGATAGACCGGGAGTGGGCAGACTGAGGGGTGCCGAGTTGCGCATCAGCGAAAGGGACGTCAAAAGAATTGAGGGTAACCGGGATGTATTTGGGCGCAACGGGAGAAGATAGATCGCGGCGAGTGTAAATTGAGAGCAAAGCTTAGCATCACTACTTGGGGCAGTAGTTGGCAACAAGAGTCTTCGGGTAGGTCTCTCCCAAGAGCATGCTACCATCGGTGTTGTTTGATTGACAGAGCATGCACCCAAATCCACAAGGAATAGGAGAAAACGCAATTGGAGAAAAAAGACTTCATTTGGTTCATATTTTGTTCGTTTCATTTGAACTACAACAGCGCGTCCCAAGGCATCGCCAAGGACTAACCTCTAAGTTTCGCCCGTCTGCCCCACCGGTTTCGAGTTAAAAGCGATAAATGTACAAAGGCGTCCTATCCTGTGTCTCCATCAGAGTAATATAATCCCCAGTTCTCCGTCTGGGGTCTTCTTAGACGATGGTTTCGTCTTTCCTCGTTCAGCACACTAAGCACACATCTAGGGGTTGTCTCCTCCTTTTCCCACTCATCAGACGCCGCAATAAGAATAAAATGGGGAAACAGAGGGATAATAACACGTAAAAACAGATCAATGGAAATAATATGCAGTAGTAGCTGACTTGGGGGGAGTGCCCGAGTGATTTCTCACATAAATAGCTGAACTAAAAACCCCAGAAAGAGTCATGTAACAAAAAAAAAAGAAAAGAAAAGAAAGAAATGCTGAAATGTATCATGAGATTATCAATCTTTGTTACATCATGCCACTGGCATTAATCGTAGCTGGTTGGCTAATCGTCATTGGCATGCTGAGGGTTTGCAAGCTGTTGAAGGTCTGAGGCTGGTGCATGGCGCTATTGTTGGCGTTGCTGATGCTATTTGATGAGACGGATTCATTGGCGGCGGCATTAAGAGATGTAGGAACGTATGCAGCCTCAGAAGTAGGGGATGCCTCCTCGACAGAGCCGAGTTGATCCTCACCCGAGTATTCCTCTTCCTCCTCGGCAGAGAGATTGAAAGAGCCCTCGCCACCATCTTCGCGGCTGTGGGTACGTTTGTGCCTGCAGGTATGCGAGTTAGTAAATCTCTACCGACAAAGGTTCGGCTCATGTAGCTAAATGGCTGTTTCAAGTAGACTTACTGTGCAAGGTTGTCGGATCGAGAAAATGCTTTGCTGCAATGGGGACAAATGTAAGGCTTCTCTTGAGTGTGCGTTCGGACGTGTCTGGAAAAAAGGTTAGGGTTTCAAAATTTGTGCTGTTGCTATGAAGAAGTTGAGACTTACCTCTTCAAATGCTCGAGACGTTTGAAGAGTCGACCACAGGTTGGAATTGGGCATGAGTGAGACTTATGGGGGTACGGGCCAAGCTCCATCACAGTAGCTGAACGAGCCCGTCGAATGACGCCGCTTGGGCCAGACAGGGTACGGCGGTGGTCTTTGATGACACCGTCATGAGAAAGCTCGTCTCCGAAGGCTGGCTGAAGGGTCATGGGGTTCAGTGCCGGGCTCCCATCCACATTGGACAGTGGCGTACCATGTCGAGACAAATCGACAACATCCTTATGCTGTTGGCTGCCCATGGACATACCAGATGCACTGTAGGAAAGTCCGGGAGGAGAATTATCAGCCGACTCCTCACCTTCAGCCACAGGACCAACAGACGCTGAAACAGATCGTCTCAAATCAGACGGCCTGTGAGCCGCAGTGTTCGGGACAGGCGCACCAGGGATAGCCGACATAGATGGCGGAATCGAAGATCGACGTCGTCGTTGCTTGTATGTCGGGGAGCCTTCAATGACAGAGTAAACATTGTTTGTGCCGTACGAACGGGTGAACTGCGATCCGGCCAGGTTTGAAGGAGGCAACTGCACCATGCCATTGAGGCCGTTCACTCCAGAGAGATGATCGGGGATAGCGGAATACAATCCGGTCTCCTCGTTGGCGATATATGCAGGCTCTCCCGTCATACCCAGAGCTTGCTGAGGCGGGGTAATTGGTTCGAAAGAGATGCCTCGGTTGCTATAATCCTCGTACTGAGAGGAAACGAAGGATGGGGCAGGTGAGTACTCTAAACCGTAGGCGGGCATGGACGCATGTCTTTGATGGCCGTGTGTGATCGGGACGCCATTTTGGTTATACTGAACACGGGTGAAGTCAGGTTCTCTTTTGACGTGGGCAACTTGTTGGGGAACTGCCGCAGCCATCGGCATAGCTTCGTAAGAAACCATGTGGTGGTCCATTGGTTCACCCATGGGCGCTGCCATGGTTTGAGGCATCATGCTCGGAGGTGGCATAGAGTCCATGGCTCTCATTACAGGGGAGGTCGACTGGCCTTGAGAAAACGACGTCGCCTGCTGGGCATTGAACGAAGACGAGTTGGCTTGTTGCGTCTTGGTGAGTTGCTCGTACAAGGACTGAGATGAGTCGTATTGGAAGGACAACGCAGGCTCGCTGACTGCCACTGTGGTGGCTTCCTGGCCCATCTTCTCTCGCTTCAAATCCCGCTCAAGGGCGTCCAAAAAGAGGCGGTCATGTGGAACACTGTACCAATAGAAAACCTTTTGCTTCTTTTGTGTCCGAATGCAATTATTCTTGTAGAGGAAGTCAAGGAATGCACTCTTGGGTTCCTCCAAGGACGCATCGGTGCCAGACTTCAGGTTTCGTAAATCAGAGAAAATACCCTCCTCAAACTTCTTAGAGTTTTTGACAGGGCGGCCAAATGCCTGGAATCTGAATGACAGGCATCGTACAATGTCGGTGCCAGAGATATGAAAGAGATTGTTCCACAAAACGCAAGAGACATATTCGCCGGTGGGCAGTAAAAATCGGCGGATGTACTGGTCTGGTTGCCAATCAACTGGCGCTGAGATGAGAAAATATTTCACTGCAACCATCAGCGGTTAGCAAATACAAATCACCAGCGACAAGGGAGCCCATCCAAAACATGGTTGCTTCAGGCTGCAACATACAATTATCTACTTGCTGAAGTGCAACCTGAGCATCGTGCGGCAATGCCTGCTGCGCTTCGGTACTCAGCATGAAGGTCTCTGGCTTTTGAGGTGCCATGGTGGCATGTTGTGAGTACATGGTGTCAACGTGTTCCACCGACTGTAGAAACCAACGCTCTCGTCCCAACCAGCAATGACAGTTCCTATTGATGATTGGCCGTCGTCACAGAGTGAGTGTAGGTGGTGAGAGAGATGGCAATGCAGCCAAATACACAGTCAACACTAGTTGGATTGCTGCGATGTTTCGACCAACAATGGCGTTTCGGAAGGTGAAAGTAACGCTCAAGAGGCACTGCCTTGATTGGCAATTGTGTCGGTTTCGCGACGGCAACGAGGAAATATTCGAGACCAGCCCGGATAGTCGAAATTGATGGTGCACTCAAGCAAAGGGATAGCCCAGCCCAGCCACTGCATCAAGCGAGTTTGGGTCGGGCGCGATGAGTTGGCTTGTTTTGGCCGTCGAGGCAGGATGCCGCATTCAAGGCAAGCCGAGGCCAGAGATTTAGCACGGAGCCAGGATCGAAGCGAATTAAGGCGGAACAAGAAAGAAAGCAGAGCCAAGAAGATGCAAGAAACACGAGGTCACCAGGCCCGAAGATGGATATCCGATATCCCGTCAAACAGCCAGCTGCATTCGAAGCGGAAAAAGGGAACGACGGCAGGGGAGAATCGCGCCCAGTGACGACCGTGTCTTGAAGACGAGAAGACAACGACGGGATTGGACGGCGCGAGGGACGACGTGGCTCAGGAAATGGAAAAGAAAGAAAAAAGAGACGACCCGAGGTCGAGAAGGGGAGGATCAGAGTGGCGGGGGGGGAGGAGAAGAAATAAACGTAGAAACGACGAAGAGGAGGAATATACGGAGCACGAGGGTGGACGAGAGTCGGGGGGGGTTTATGGCTCAAACAGTCGCTCGAGTGGTCGCCCAAGCACTCACAGAGGCCGTGGCGTCGGGGCAAGGCGGCGGCGGCCGGGAGCCACAGTCAAGTGCTCAAGTGCTTAGGGCTCGAGGAGGGGACTGGAGCCATGGGAGCATGGGGAGCATGGGAGCATGGGAGCATGGCATGGCATGGGCCCGGGAAAGCACCAAAGAAGTCTGGTTCGTCCTCGGGACCAGCTGGCGGGAGAGACGGGAGAGGGGACTGAGCGACAGCGACTTGGCTGAGCGGCCGACTGATGGAACATTGAGCTCGACGGCACATTCGAGTCAACGCGGGCTGACTTGGCTAGCTCAGGCACAGGCAGGCACAGGCACAGGCGCTGGCAAGGGCTGACCGGGGTCGATATGTTAGCGGCACAATGAGGAGACCGAGACCAGTCGAACTGACGGGCATCTGGGCCTGGCAGGCATGGCGGGACCGGTCTTTGGTCCAACCCGTTGAGCGAACAACATTGAACGGGCAGGCTTGATCCCTCTGATGGTGTGGAGACAGCCGGTGGGCTGGTGGACGGATGGACTGGCAGCTGGTGCGCGAGAGGATTGCCCGGCGCTGAGTGGACGAATCGAACTCGGACGACGACGTGGGACTGGTCAGTGGTGACGGGCAATGCCAATGGCCACCACCGTGGACCATGGCATGAATTGGCTCTGGCATGGGCGGCGCGCGGCGGCACAAAGAGAAAGGCAGCCACATCATGTTGCGCTGCGACTTCGGGTACAAATTCGTGCTGCCATTGTCCAATATTGCCAGTGTATTTTCACGTCGCAAAGTACATTGACTTGAGCTTCTGGCTAATTCACGTATTGACTTGAGCTGGACGGAGAACGGAGCATCGCCCCCGAGGGGTGTGCAAAGCTGGCTGCAATTTTTGGTCCCAATGCCAACATTGAACCAGATTTTTTATTGACCTCACAAGCATGTCTCGCCTCGCCCTACTTCAATTTTACTTGTAGGTGCCTGCTACTGCTAAGTGCTTAGAAACCCGCGAGTTGTCTGGGCTTTGTAGTGGCTTGGAGCCTGTGCGGCGTGCGGCGTGCGGTGTGCGCAGCGGTGCGTGACTCCTTCCGTCCCTCTGTCATCGTCATCAGCTCAGTGTTCCTTCCATCTCTAACTTGGACAGGCTGACATTCGAT